AGGGTTTAGGGTTTAGGAACCCCTCTGCCAGATGCCCTGCACCGGAGACCTGGAAAGGCGCTCCGACTCCATGCTCACGAGGAACTCAAGGGCCAACTGAGCCATGGCCGGGGGGTTTTATTAAGAGCTTTTGAAAAGGGGTTCAGAGGGTTTCGGTTTAGGGTTTAGGGTTTAGGGTTTAGGGTTTAGGGTTTAGGGTTTAGGGTTTTGGGTGTAGGGTTTAGGGTTTCCTGTAGGTTTCAGGCGGGCTGAGGGTTTTGGGTGATGGTACAGTATAAATATGTGCGGAGTGTAAGGGGATACTATAACTAGTGTTTGGATAGAAAAGGTGGAGCAGAATGGTATGCTTTGTTTCAATCCTCGCCTCTATATTCTATTTGTAGCATGGTAGGTCCGGCAATCAAGGATTGTCATTCAGGTGTTTGTATCCGGTATCCTATCCTTGATATGGAACCTTTGGCTTCTTGCGCCGACAGATCAGGGTTTTGGGTTTATAGGGTTCAGTGTTCAGGGTTTAGGGTTTAGGGATCAGGGTTCAGGGTTTAGGGATCCGGGTTCAGGGTTTAGGGATCAGGGTTCAGGGCTCAGGGTTTATGGATTTAGGGTTTGGGGCTTAGGGCTCCCGAACCCCACCCCCCGAAAGGGGCCCCTACTGGCTCGCACAGTGAAAGGCACATTGTCCCTTTGCCCTTGCCGGGTTAGTTCTTAGGATTTCTGCTTTAGCATCCTTGGGGCTGGAACCTCATGGTGAGCTCGAAAGAAATAGCTGATAGCAAAGACAATCTGGCCGGTTTAGGGTTAAATAAGGTTTTAGGGTTTAGGGTTTAGGGTGTCTGAACCATCACATCCACGCATCAAGCACCACGAAACCCACTGGTTTAAGATCCACAAGTGTGTTGGGACTTGGTGGTGCGGGTGTAAGCGGCTATGTGCCTGCCAACGACCACTTCTCTCGCAGGCGCTGATGATCGCCCCATACGTGACCACGGTCTTTGCCACCTGCAAGGGCAAGGACCCGAATCCTAAAAGCCTCAACATTGACTCAACAAAAAGGCCATTTCCTAAACACTAAAGGCCATTTCCTAAACACTAAAAGCCACTTCCTAAACACTAAAGGCCACTTCCTAAACACTAAAGGCCATTTCCTAAACACTAAAGGCCATTTCCTAAACACTAAAGGCCACTTCCTAAACACTAAAGGCCATTTCCTAACACTAAAGGCCATTTCCTAAACCTAGAGGCTGGCGTTGATTTGGGATCCTAGGACCTCTAACTTCTGTTGGCTTCATAGTATATAAACCATCATGGAAGCCTAAGGCTTTTATCCAAGCACGGTCTTCAGTCGACCTAAACTTTAAAAGCAACTCCAACACCAAAGTCGTGAAGCCATCAATCGTAAGGACCCTTACGGGGGGTAAGGGTGAGGGGGCTAGGGGACGATGCTTCCTATTAGGTCCTTATTACACGTATTAAGGCCCCTTACCCCGCTCCCCCTACCCTGCTGTACTAAACCCTAAACCCTAAACCCTAAACCCTAAACCCTAAACCCTAAACCCTAAACCCCTAAACCCTAAACCCGGAGTTCTAATGGATCGAGGATGGAACCTCAACCCACACCTCCGCACCCTGGGAGTTTCTCGAAATTGGTGGTCCCTTGTTGGGGAGTCCTTTGAATTGGGATCCCGCGATGTGTGTCTCCATATTATGTGGGGGTTTCCGAAAACAGGGGACCCTAAGATAGCACCCAAATAGTAGGATCCTTATTGTAAGGACCCTCAAATAAGGTACCCCCTATTTCTGGAAACCCTAAACCCTAAACCCTAAACCCTAAAACCCCCCAAAATAAGTCTGGACTTTCAATCTTGAGGTTTGGACTTTCGTGTCGGGGCTTCGGCTTCGGAGGCCTTGGGTTGAGGGATCTGGAGACTTCAAGGCTACACCGGGTTTGGGGTTTAGGGTTTAGGGTTCAGGGTTTAGGGTTTAGGGTTTAGGGTTTAGGGTTCAGGGTTTAGGGTTTCGGGTTCTTTTTTTAAGCACCTTTTTCCACCTAGCAGTAAAGGTCGGCAGAATCCGCTTTCGCAGAAGGCACACCAAGGGTTTAGGGTTTAGGGTTTGGTGCTTTCAGTCTTTGCGTAAGCTTGCAGGATCATCCCCCACCCCCAAAACACTGCCCGCGCGCGTAGCACCCCTGTCGTACCCTGTACCCTGATAGCAGCCTTATCGCTCATCGCACCCCCCCAATTTGAACATCCACCTGGAGGAGGTCCATTTGCTCCAGGAGTTGCAGCGCATGAGACAGCTGCCTCACTGCGTCAGCTGCACGTCTTTGTGACTAAAACACAGGCCTCGGACAGGCCTCCGATACGACCTACGAAGGTTCCGGGCTGAGGCTTACGGCCTGAAGGCTTCACTATCTGTGCTGGGATTACTGTGAGCTTACCTTCTTGTTGTTGAGGAAAGCGTAACGCTGCGATATGCAATGCGGAGGGAAGTAGTCATCAGGATCTGTCACTGCAGGGACTAAGGAAGTGCTACAACATCTGTGCTTCTGCACCTGAAAATCCTGCACGCAAAGTCTCATAAGTGCTAAACTTCATTCAACACCCCCCTAAGCCCTAAACAGCCACAAAACAGCCCAAACTCTGAGCCCAAGCCGAGAGTAAGAGGAGCAGAAGTGCGTGCCACGCGCCGCGGCGCTGATCGCTGCATTGAAGCACGGCGCGTCCACCCCGAGCCTCGCCAACATAGCATCGGTAATTAGTTAGGCCCCTATATTAGGGTTTAGGGTTTAGGGTTTAGGGTTTAGGGTTAGGGTTTAGGGCACCCTAAACCCTACATTAGGGGTTTGGGGTTTAGGGGTTTAGGGTATATAAAATGGCTCAGGAGGGTTAGGGGCTTCAGAGCGTCTCTCTTCGGGCTCAGGGCTTCAGGGGTTGAGGGATTCCCTAAACCCTAAACCCTAAACCCTAAACCCTAAACCCAGAGGGCTTCAGGGCGTGGAGCTTTGAGTTTGGGACTTTGGTTGTGGGGCAGAGCTGTGCGCGGGTGCAGCGGCAGAAGGCAAATTTGGAACTGAGCGTGCACTGTGCAGACACGAACAAGACCGCCAAAGAGAGTTAAGCCACAAACCCTCAAAACCTAAACCCTAAGCTCCAAAACCTCCAAAATGTCAAAAAGTCTCTAAAATTTTAAAAGCTAAACTTTGAAACCCTAAGCTCCAAAACCTCCAAAATGTCTAAAAATCGCTAAAAATCCCTCTCCCGTCAAACCTAAAGCCAGAAGCCCCAAACCCGGAAGCAGAACTCAGACGAGCTCCAAAGTCCAATGAGGGTCTAAGCTTAGGGTTTAGGGTTTAGG